AGATGGCTGAGTGCAGAAGCTGCAGGAGCTCCCACAGGGCACAGCCGGGTGTGGAAAGAAGGTCAGAGAGAAGAGGGAGGGTAGAGTGACATCCATGGAGGACCTGAGACAAGAGGCCCGCCCAGGCTATGTGCCCACCTGCCTGTGGATCAAGGGGCACCTGCCTACACATGTTGTTCACTCACTGACTCTTCACACAGGGATGATGTCATTCCCTCACTGCCCCTTCACACAGGGGTGATGTCATTCACTCACTGATTCATCACACAGGGATGACGTCATTCACTCACTGTCTCTTTCACACAGGGTGATGTCATCACTCACACTCTTCACACAAGAGTGACGTCATTAACTCATTGACTTGTCAGACAGGGGTGATGTCATTCACTCACTGGCTCTTTCACACAGGGGTAACGTTCACTCACTGGGTCCTTCACACAGAGGTGACATCATTCACTCACTGGGTCCTTCACACAGGGGTGACGTCATTCACTCACTCTTCACACAGGGCTGACGTCATTCACTCACTGACTCTTCACACAGAGGTGATGTTCACTCACTGACTCTTCACACAGGGGTGACATCATTCACTCACTCTTCACACAAGGGTGATGTCATTCACTCACTGTTTCCTTCACATGGGGTGATGTCATTCACTCACTGACTCTTCACACAGGGGTGACGTCATTCACTCACTGACTCTTCACACAGGGGTGACGTCATTCACTCACTGACTCTTCACACAGGGGTGACATCATTCACTCACTGACTTTTCACACAGTGGGAGATGTCATTCACTTACTGACTCTTCACACAGGATGATGTCATTCACTTACTGGGTCCTTCACATGGGGGGACTCACTGACTCTTCACACGGGTTATGTCATTCACTCACTGACTCTTCACACAGGGGTGACGTCATTCACTCACTGACTCTTCACACAGGGGTGACATCATTCACTCACTGACTCTTTCACACAGGGGCAATGTCATTCATTCACTGTCTGTTTCATACAGGATGACATCATTCACTCACTCTTTACACAAGGGTGATGTCATTCATTCACGGGGCCCTTCACACAAGGGTTGACGTCATTCATTCACTGACTCTTCACATGGGGATGACATCAATCACTCACTGGCTTCATCACACAAGGGTGATGTCATTCACTCACTGGCTCCTTCACACAGTGGTGACATCATTCACTAACTGACTCTTCACACAGGGGTGACATCACTCACTGGCTCCTTCACATAGGGGTGACATCATTCACTCACTGACTCTTCATATAGGGATGACGTCATTCACTTACTGGCTCTTCACACAGGGTGACGTCATTCACTCACTCTTCACACAGGGGTGACATTCACTGACTCTTCACACAGGGGTGATGTCATTCCCTCACTGGCTCCCTCACACAGCATTGACTTCATTCACTCACTGACTCCTTTATACAGGGTGACGTCATTCACTCACTGTCTCCTTCACACAGGGGTGATGTCATTCACTCACTGTCTCTTTCACACAGGGGTGACATCATTCACTCACTGACTCTTCACACAGGGTGATGTCATTTACTCACTACTTCACACAGGGATGACGTCATTCACTCAGGCTCCTTCACACAGGGGTGACGTCATTCCCTCACTGATTCCTTCACACAGGGTTGACTTCATTCACTCACTGTCTCCTTCACACAGGGGTGATGTCATTCACTCACTGTCTCTTTCACACATGGGGTAACGTCATTCACTCACTGATTCTTCACACAGAGTGACGTCATTCACTCACTGCTTCCTTCACACAGGATGACGTCATTCACTCACTGGCTCCCTCACACATGGGTGATGTCATTCACTTGCTGACTCTTCACACAGGGGTGACCTCGTTCACTCACTGGCCCCTTCACACAGGGGTGACCTTGTTCACTCAGTGGTTCCTCACAGCAGATGCTCACTGGGCACCTGCAGCAACCCAGCCTCACACCAGGAACTGGGCATCACCTTTGAGACACATGGGCCCTGCCTCAAATCTGCCACTTATCAGGAAAAGACAGAAGAGTGTATGGGTCATTAGCATGGAGGGCACTAGGGGACATGCATGAGAAGCACTCCAGCCAGCCTGATACCAGAAACTTCTAGAAGTAGAAATCTGAAGGGCACATGGAGGTGTCCCAGAGCGAGATGTGACATGCAACTCCAGACTGCTCACTGCTGCCCACGCCATTCCCAGGGCACAGACACAGGCAATGAGCATGTTCAAGGAAATGTCCATGGACAGGAAAGACGTGGAGGGACACGGGGGGCCCCATACAGGCTGGGGGTTTCCTTGAAATAGGGTGGTCCGGTGGGCAGGCCAGATAGGACTGCTCAGCAGGGACAGAGAGGCCATTTAGGGACCCGGTACGTACAGTGAGAGGACCCTATAGGGTGAACACAGGGAGATGGTCTGACTAGAGCTGAGATACAGCAGCTCTGAGGCCACCTGGGGAAGGTGAGGGAGGGAGCCGGTGCCAGGCGGGTGTGGTGGCAATGAGAGCACAGAGATCCTGGTGTGGGGGGGTGCTGTTCATGGGGCTATAGTGGGCAAGTGGGCTGCAGAGATCCAGGTGAGAGGTGGCAGGTGCATGGGGCTTTAATTGGCAGCCTTGTGCAGACATCCAGGTGAGCAAAGGGGCACGTACTTGGGCTACAGTGGGCAGGGACCAGGCACAGGGTGAATGCAGTAGAAGGGGCTATGCTGAGATGCAGGTGTTTAGGGGGCAGGTGTATGGGCCTGCAGTAGGCAGCAGAGGTGCAGAGATCCAGGTGAGAGAGGGGGCAGGTGCACCAGACTGCAGTGGGCAGGGGATGTGCAGGGATCCATGTGTGAGAGGGGGCAGGTGCACCAGGCTGCAGTGGGCAGGGGACTTTCCCAGATCCAAGGGAGAGAGGGCAGTTGCATGGGCCTACTGTGGGCAGGGATCCAAGTGTGAGAGGGGGCAGGTGCAGGACAGAGGCAGATATCCACATGAGAGAGGGGACATGTTCATGGGCTGCTGTGGGCAGGGGACACGAGGAGATACAGGTGAGGGAAGAGAGCAGGTACAGCATTGAGTGCAGTGGGTGACCACTGAGTGACTTCTGCCTGGGAGACAGGATTTGAAGAATTGTAGAAAGGCAGCTTCAGGGATGAGGGTAGATCTGAGTCCAAAGTGTGTGTTGACCTGCACAGTGTGACGCCTGCCCGTGGAAACACAGGCAGGCGGGGCCTCAGGCAGAAGCCCTGGTGCCCCTGGGCAGTCACGCGTTTTCCGTGTGGCTCACCACAGGGAGGGCCTCTGGTTCCCAGAGTGGCCTGGGATGTTGGGGCCCCTGGAGTTCTGGAGGTGGCGGGTAGGCTGGGGCTGCAGCTGTTTCCCACCTGGCAGGAAATACTTCCATGTTTTAACTTCTGGTGTGACTGAGGTGCTGGAAATGTATGGGGTGGCTTTCAGCACACCAGGGACTTAGGAAGGGAGAGTGTTTGAGGGAGCTTCCTAATGGGTTTGATTGATAGACAGGTTTGTTTCAGGTACCTGGATGACTTCTAAGGGGTGCTGTCCAGGTGACTTAGGGGACAGATCTCGGCAGGTGTAGATGCCATAACCTTAATGTACAGTGGACAGCAAGGTCCCGGTTTCTGATGGGATCAGGAGATGGAGGTAAGGGAAGAGAAGGGGGGCAGCAGCGATGTGGGGCACGTGGCCCTTAGGTGTATGTGAGAACAGAGACAAGCGTGTGTGTTGGCACCACCTTGGTTTCTTGTGAAGTAGCCCCCAGTCAGTGTTTTGGGTTCCTAGGGAAGAAATATTAACTCCAGGGAAACTACACAGGACAGATTTCACAGAAGTTGAAAATAGAAGAAGCTCCCAAGACCCGAAAGAACTGAGATGCTTCCAGGATCTTAAAATGTTCCACTTTATGATGAAGGAGAATTAGATAATCTGGTTTTATGGGATCCCAGGGAAGTGACTTTTCCTCTCTGGGTTATAGTTTTATATTTTGAAAATTAGAGGGGTTCGCCTACTTGATCTTTAGTGATTATTCAAGGATTAATCTTCTGTGAACCTGTGACCTGGGACACTAGTGAAAATCATGTAACAGGCACTCTATCACCTTTGGGGAGCGGGGCACAGACAGTGTGTCAGGGTTATATCCCAAGGGCGGACCCCACAGCAGGTGTCAGTGTGGAGACGCTCATCTCATCACCCCAGGACACAGACGGTGTGGCAGGGTTATATCCCAAGGGCGGACCCCACAGCAGGACACAGACGGTGTGGCAGGGTTATATCCCAAGGGCGGACCCCACAGCAGGTG